CTAATATTTGTTTGTACAATATTTCAATCTTTGCTTTTTTTATGTTATTGTCAAAAGTGGAGAAGTGACTGTTTGGTCGCTTATCTGAAACTCTCAAACTAATCCAGCTATACTTAACAAGAGCACACACACACACACACACACACACAAACAAACTTGCACCAATGAAAAATACATATAAAAAGAAAAATCAACATGTATAAGTAGTCAATTGCTGACGAGTGGACGGAAAGTCTATCTATGAATCTCTGGAGTTGGGATGCTGAAGATAACATAAATCAGCTAAGTGATAAACCTTTTACTTGTATTAATTCTTTCCCAATTTTTCTCTCTAGTGTTCCCAGGTCCACCCTGACCCAGGATGGTAGCACCTGTTAGGGTCCCAGCTATGGGAAAATGGTTGACTCCCACTCAAACTATTAAAAAAAACACTATGAAATTGTAAAAATAGGTTTTAATACCAGCAATACATGTTTGTAAAAAATCATTACCAGCAATAAATTTTTGAAGGAATAAAATATTACCAGCAATACATTTTTGAAGGAATAAAATATTACCAGTAATACATTTTTGAAGGAATAAAATATTACCAGCAATACATTTTGGAAGAAAAAATATTAGCAGAAATAGATTTTTGAAGGATAAAAATCTGGTAATAGTTTTCCTTTGAAAAATCTATTTCTGGCAATATTTTTTCTTCAAAAATGTATAGCTGGTAATTTTTTCAAAAATGTATTACTGATAATAATTTTTTTCTTCAAAAATTTATTGCTGATAATAATTTTTTACAAAGTATTTCTGATATTAAAAACTATTTTTACACTTTCATAGTGTTTTGACCCCAGTTTGTGGGTTAACTATTTGCCCATAACTAGGACCCTAACAGGTGCTACCACCCCAGTTTAGGGCAGACCTGAGAACACCAACAATTAAGAGGTTGTTTCACACTCCTCAAAACCAAAGGCCTTGCTGCTGAATGTAGTTTATCGTCATACCTAGGACAGGCAAGTGTTTGTTGGCGAATAACATATGATGATGGTCATTATAGAGTTACCCTTGCAGCTAGCTATGATAATGCCAACACCACCCATGCTACTACCTATGGAATTTTTCCAAGCTGAAGCTGAGATGAAGACCCATATTAGACATTTTCTTTCTAAGGTAACCAATAACAACACTGAATATAGAAATAAAAACAATAATATAAAATCTATATTAAATCTATATTAAATCTATAAAAATCAAATTCATGGTAACTATAAACAGGATGAATCTTCCCTTAGAAACATTTTAAAGAAATATACAATTCCAGTCGACAAAAACAAGAAAATTAAATTATCTACTATAAAAAATTTAAAACTGTTAACCTCATAGTCAATAATAATAACTCACTTGCAAGATCCAAATTACAGAAAACCAATATTATTTATGAATTCACATGTCCCTTAAGGAAGAGTGTTCCTGATCAATTCAAATTCATAAATAATTATATTGGATATACTACAACATGCCTAACAAGAAGACTCACATTACATGTCTCTGATCATTGCTCAATTAGGTCTCATTTAAATAAACACAGAGATCTACCACACTCCTTCTGCAACATACTCGTTGATAATACAAATGTAATAACATCATCCACATGTAAAAAATGGCTAAAAATATTAATAATTAAAAATATTATTAATTAATATATTATTAATAATTAAAAATATTATTAATAAAAAAAGAAAATACCAATACTCAATAACATCAACTATGAACACAGCCACAATGTGTTGACCATGTTTGGAAAATAAAACATTCCTATAATTCTAGATACATACATAAAGTAATCCATACATTCAGTTAAAAGTAAAGATAAAATCATCCTTGATAATGGCTAAAAGTATAGCCAAAAGCACTCAGACATACAGAACATTCGAGCAATTTCTATATAATTTATATCCAGAAAAGAAGAAAATTATAAGAACACTGTTAAAAATTAATAAAAACTGCAATACATTGTCAGTCATTTTTTAATATATATATATATATATATATATATATATATATATATATATATATATATAAATGCCACTCTCATCAAATGAGAAAGTAATTTACTCAGAAGGAAAATTCTCAAGAGTGCTGCTATTGAATCCTATCAAAATATAAATCTACGTCCTGGTTTTTTTCCAATCTCACCTTTCCTTAAAGAATTACTCCCTTACTAATCCAAGATCCACAACCACAAAAATGTTAAAAAATCAAAGCACATGTCAATCCCAAACCATAAATTCTGATCACAATTTAAACAATTTATTAAAAACATTTATTTAAATATTTATTAAAAAAAATATTTGTATATTACTTGCTTACTTTTGTCCTACCAGACTTTGAATTAAGGCACTTTATGTCGCCACATGCTTTGACTGACCTTTCAACCACCTGATGAATATTCATGAACATTCTCAAATTGTCTGGATTTTTTTTTTTATTTATTGTTAAAAAAAAAAAATTATTGTTAAAAAAAAAAAATTCAGACGACATGCATTCAACAGATGTCAGTTCTCATTGAAAAATACATCCTTACCCCTTACCAAAATGTAGCTAATAACCGATACAATGATACAGACATAAGGAAAACCCAGACAACCCTTGTCCAATTGAAGTAGATTTATCTATAACCATGGAAACGTGATTTTAGCTGTGTCTTTAAAACCCAGTAATTTTAAAAGTTACTCCAAAATTCGCTTGAGGATGAAATGGAACTAATGTCTTTAATTTAATTGCAAAATTAAATTCGATTTTTTTAGCTTCCATTTTTGAAACATGGTTAGAACTGTGTAGCGGGAAAAAAACATATTTTAAATCAATTAATTTATTATATATATATATATATATAAGTTTGGTGTTACAAAAACTTAGTATTCTTAATGACATGAACACAGGAAAAGACTAATTTATTTTTATTTTATTTAGTAAAAGAGGAAAAGAACTAAAGAGGAACTAAGAGGAAAAACATGCTTATATACTGCTTCTGGCAATGCCATCTAGTGGTCATAAGCAGAAATTCTTTGGCATACAAGGGGAGTAACTCTATTTTCTCTACAGATAAATGCTTCATATTATTAAGTAATAAAGGTAAGAAGTTTAAATATTAACATAATCGAATTACATATAGACTATATTAAATATACACCTTTTATGTTGATCTCCAATATAACACTTTCTGAATCCTTTTCTAGCTTAATGTGTATGAAATTCAAACTTCAAAGGATTCAATTCACACCGTTAGGATAAATTTTTAGTTTAAAAGGAAATGCTTTTCTTAAATTTATTGACCAATCAGAATGGTTTATTTTGACTCAAAAACAGTTTTTTGCTCTTCCTTTCTTTAGAAGTATTCATTTCATTTCACACCACCTTTAAAGACGAACTTGAAAGATTTTGTATTGCTACCAGAGAATTAAGTAACTTTGACAGGTTTTCAGCACTTTTGCTAACATTTTTAGCCATCATAACATCCTATAGTCATCATTTTTCATTTCAATAACACCCTTATTCTAAGATATTGATTACAAAAAAAATAATAATGTTCTCTCCTATTTTTCACTTGCTTCTGAGAACAGCCACCCCTCAATAATTTGAAATATTAAAACAAACAGTATCTATCATCACATGTACACAACTTAAAAATCCAAAGCTGACACAAGTACAGGAAAATTAGTTTTAAACAAAATTTTGGAGCCATTTTTTTTTTTTAACAATCCCAGAACCTTTTCACAAATGAAAAGGTTTTCTAGTCAATGATAAATATTTTATATGAAAATAAGATAGTAAATATATAATAAAAATTTAGGAAATCTCTTGAATAATCATTTAAAACAACAAATTTAAAAAAAATAAGTTGTTTTCCCTCTTGCTGGGCAGTCAGAATAGTTGTGTGTGTTTAGATTTTTTTTTATTTTTGTTTTTTTGTTTTTAGAAAGATTTTGATTTCAGTATTTTGATTTCATTGTCATTTTTAACAAAGTTGCCCAATTTGATGGTTGATTTGAGTTTTTTAAGGTTTATCAACACTTTGGGGGGATTATTTAAATCCAAAACATATTTTGGCTTGTAAGAATAGTTTGATTTTTTTTTTTTTTTTTTGGCAAGTGAATATTGCATTAACTATTTTTTTTTTTTTTGAGAATAACAAGGATTTTTCCAGAAATAAGCTTAACCCATAGCTGGGTGGAAAAAATAGATTCATACCTTTCAAAAGTATTTGCATGTAGTGAATGTAACTTGGCTCTCTTGATTTCACATTCTGTGCATTTATCCATTACACCACACTCGACTTTAAGATACTTTATTTGAAGCCACAACTTTGTCTTCTCTTTCTTTTTGTTCATGCATATTATTTTTGATTGCTTGAATTTAATTTCAACTTTTTTACTTTAACTCACTAGTGACAAGGTGATATTTTTGTAGTTATCATTTAATAGATTTATGATTCAGATATCAGAATAATCCAGAACTTATACTGGCAGTAAACCACCTGCTTATGGATAGAAAATGAATTCAGTAAATATACAAAAATAGAAAAGGCTGTAAGACAAGGATGTGTCCTCTCACTGGACTTATTCAACAGTGAAGTCATTCTAAGAGAATTAGAAGTCCTGTCAGGATTCAATATTGGCACCCACAATTTTAACAACATAAGATATACAGACAGCACAGTGTTGATTGCTGACACAGAAAAAAAGCTACAAACCCTCCTACAAAAGATAATGAGGGAAAGCAAAAAAGAAAGGATTAAACATCAGTTGCAAGAAAATATACTGCATGGTTGTCTGCAAAAGGAACAGCCCAACATGTAAATTACAAAGCAGAGATATTAAAATCAAATAAGTACAACAATTTAAATGTCTGGGAAGTGTTTTAACAAAGGATGAAAAATGTGACACTCAAATCGAAAGCTGCATTGGAATAGCAAACGGTACCTTTCAAAAGCTAAGCAAAGTATTAAGAAACAGAAAAATTTCGTTAGAAACAAAGAAAAAGTACTGAACTGTTATGTAATATCAGTCTTTCTATATGACAGTAAATACTGGACAATTTCCTCACAGATGAAGAGACTTGAAACAACAGAAATGTGGTTCTACAGAAGGATGCTGAGAATACCATCAACTGAACATATGAGCAATGAAAAAGTTTTATCAAAAATGGAAACCAGAAGGAAACTTAATCTTAACATCAGAAAAAGACAGTTGAACTTTCTGCGGCACATAATGAGGAAATAGATCTTGAAAAATTTGATATTCACAGGAAAAATTGAATGCAAGAGGGACAAAGCAAAACAACCCATAACCTACCTAGTGAGTTGAGTAAATAGATGGCAGAACAAAGTTAACAAAAAGAAGATTTACTAAGAGCTACAAAAGGATAGGAAATTGTCTACATGATCTTCCACGACCAGAAGGGACAAGGCACATAGAGGAAGATTTAAATTATTCCATTAAGTGATGTTATCATGACGTCAAATCCGACATGGATTGAGAAATATTTTTTAAATAAGATTATTATTTGGAAGTAATCACTAGGAATTCGTCAGTTATACTGAGAAAAAAAAACATTCAAATATCAAAAGAATTTGCAAAGAAAGTCAGAGGCAGAAGCTATTAAAGGGAGACAACTTATGCTTTCTTGACCGACACCGGAAAGCGCGCCATTTATCATCATTTAGTTATCTCTCTTGATTGAAGAAAACAAATCGTGAACGGAAGGTTTGTTACGTTATGTCGTTTTAGTTTGTTTTTGTTTAATTGCCAAAATCTGGATTTAATAAGATCAAATTGAGCCATAATGGCAACTGCTTTGGATGTCCTCCTCACTTGTCATCTCTGTTCTGAGAGGATTGACAATGAACATCGAATGCTGCCCTGTCGACATTCCTTTTGCGAGGCGTGCATCGTCGACCATTTCGAGAAGAAATTTCACCAAAATAATATTAGAACTCCTTCTGTCCCGGATAAAAAATGCCCGACTTGTTCGGCTTCTCTCTCCATTTTCAATATGGAAATTGAAAGCGTAGAGGAGAGACTACAGCAGGCAGTGAAACATTTGAACATCGATGAAAACATCACCCACTTGTTGAAACTCGCTAATGAACAACAAAAACAAAAACAATCTCAGAATTATCGCCACCCTCAACAAGAGCAAGATCATGAGCCAAGTGGAGAAACATATGAAAACAAATGTGGTCCTTGTAACAAGAAAAACAAAAATATCTCGGCCATAGATTACTGTGGGGAATGTGACAAATATTTCTGTGAAAGTTGTTTGACGTGTCACGAAGATCTCTTCTCTGACCACGTTGTTGTCTCCGGTTCCGTGTGTGCTTCTTTAAATGGTGCTATAAGTGATGACGGTGACGATGCTGATGGCGTAAGTGTTGAGAAATCGATTCTAATGTGTCGGTCGTGTCCCATCCATCAGCTACCTGACAATTATTTTTGTAAAAACTGCCGGGAGAGTCTTTGTGCTTCGTGTTGTCAAGACCACACTGCGTGTGGCCCGCCCGTTCCTTTAGATAGTCACCTGGTTAATGAAGAAAGACAAAAGGCTGAACGTTTATTACAAAAAGCTAACCAGCTACAACGTGACGTTGAGAAATTCGCAGACAAGACTAAAAGAAGGATGAAAGAATTGAACAACCAGTGTCGAGAAAAGAAAGATGAAATTATGATTCGGGTCGAAAGGGTCACATCAGCGCTCAGGGAACAGGCTTGGCAAGTAATAGCCGATCTGGAGACATCCAAGAAAGTGCAGAATTCGTTATTGAATAAGAAGTTAATTTTCTGTGATGGGGTCAAAGAGCAAGTGAGGGATTTGAAAAGAGATTATTCGGAAATAAAGTCAACTCGTGGTAGTGATGGCTATCTTTTGTCCTGTTATAAGGATATGGATCTAAAGTGGACAAGAATTGAATCTGAAACGAGGCAAGAAATGGGATTGGGATCTGATGTGGATATTCGTGTTCACTACAGTGAGGATTTTATGGACATTCTAGGGAAGCTGGCCTCTCTTAGACTTGGACATCTAGAATTTGTGTCAACTGTTGAACCACAGTATCTATCTCCAGAGCGGTTTCGGCTTGTAGACGTTGCCACACAATGTGTTCCCAGTACACTAGATGTAGGGACTCAATACTTTTTCTCAAATGATATTTTATCGGTACCCAAACTTACCCAAATTAAGGACTCTCTACTCGAAGAAATTGCAATTGATATCTCTGGAGTTACATTGACAGGAGATGGATATATGCTTATGTGTTATTTTTGGGAGAAGATGATATATGTCTATAACACTGATGGTGTACTTAGATGTCATTGCAGAATTCCTGGTCACCCGTACGATATATGCAAATTGTCAGAGACAGAGTTTATTGTTATGCTGCCAGATCTGTGTCGTATATTGTTTCTTGAGTCCTGTGAAGATCGAAAGGTGTTAAGAGAGACAAAATTAGTGTCCACTTATCGAAAGGAATACGTGTCTGTCTGTAAAGTAGGTGAGGCAATATTAGTTTGTGACACTCACACGAATGTGGATATGCTGAGTCCGGAAGGAGTCATCCTGTCTTCGGTCCTCTCAGAAAGACACCGAACTGATGGTCTCCATAAAATTATTCCTGGAATCTCCGGAACATTCTGGTTGCTTGATAGAAGCATTGCAATAATCTCTTGCTACCATTTGGAGGGTACACTGCTCGTGTCCCACCTTCCAACACAAGATGGATCTGTTTGCTCGACGGATGATATCTGCTTCGATGACGCTGGTTACATGTATTGTTGTAACAAGGGAAAAGTGTTTTGCATTACACCTCAAGAAACTGTCAGTATTCTTTGGAAATTTGACTGCAAATTCCTGAAACCTTCCCGACTGTTACTCACTTCAAGTCAAGACCAGTTACTGCTAATTTGTAAAAATGGGCAAAAATACCAAATCATCACTTTCCAAATATCAAAATCACATGAACAATCATGAGTTGATAAATTACTCAGTGAATTGTCAAAAGCAAGCATAGTTAAGATTTGTGCACCCCACCACCACAATCAAAAGAAAGATCTCATTTTCTGAAATATCTTTTGAATGACACCAACCCACAAGTGTTCAGTTCTCTATAAAGTTACCAAAAACTCAATTTTACAAACTCCTCAAAGAAAAAAAAAATTGACTCAAATGAAGATAAAAATCCTTTATCCGGTCAATTTGCTCAATTATTCTATATACTGTATCCCTTCAGAACGTGGGGGAACATAGCTCTCCACTACTTCCTATCCTGTGTAGCTCTTAACAACACTTGTCTTTTTTACTATCTCTCCCTTTCTGTTCAGCCGTCCATTTGCACAAGCTTGTTAGATAGTTTTCACTGTCGCCATTGCCTTCAATATGTCTCGTGAGTGTCAAATTTTCCAATCCTTCTTTTCTTGTTATGTGTCCTAGAAATTTCAATTTTCTCTTTCTGAATCTAAGAACAAGTATCCTTTTTGTTTCTATTTTCCTTAAAACTTCCTCATTCCTTACATGCTCTCTCCATGGTATTCTTAATATTCTTTTGTAAAATCACATCTCTGTTGCCTGAAGTTACCTCTTCATCTGTGTGAAAATTGTCAAGCATTCACTGCCATATTTAAAAGATTGATATAACAGCAGTTCAGCACTCTTTTCTTTGTTTCTAACAAAATTTTCCTTTTTCTTAATATTTTGCTTAGCTTTTAGAAGGCATATTGCACATTTAGATTTCAGTGTCACACTTTCCATCCATTTTAAATTTTTGCTCAATTATATAATCTGAAGGCAAAAATTCCCACCGGCAAAAGTAGGGACAACATAGAAGGAAAAATCTGTGTGCAAATAGATTAATTTATATTTTACAGTTTATCAACCTTTTGCAGGTTATTTAAAGCCAGAAGATATTTTTTAATTTTTTTTTTTTTTTAGATGATAATGATTTACTGATACAGCTCTGACTAATTAACCCATAGCTATGGGGAGAAGAGGTAGATTCATACCTTTTCCAAGGGTATTTGCGCTTAAGTGAATATAACAAACTCAACTGGAATTGGAACTCAGCTTTCCAATACTCAGATCTTATTCCCTTACCAACTGCACAATCTTACAGTACCTAGTATTTCCAAGTGGTCACCCATCTAAGTACTGACCATGCTCAATGCTGCTTAACTTTGGTGATCGTACAAGAATTGTTTTTTAATGTAATATCGACATATGTGCAGATAGGAGCCTCATTATATTTTTTTGATATTATATAAGACTCTTTTTCCTCCTTTATTGTTATATTAAAATATTAGCATAGTATCCATAAAAAATAACAAGATTGTGTATGGCTTGTCCTTCTGCCTAGGATCAAAGTAGTAACTGTGCACTCTACAAAAAATGTTTTTAAAAAATATCTATATATGGACACATATTGCAGTATATATATATATATATATAATGTGTGTGTGTGTGGATTATGGAGCTAGGCAAGATACAAGTACAGCCAGTCTATGGCATCTGGGTAAACATTAGCCTGCCAGATACCTCTTTTTCAGCAAATTTGGACCATCATGCCCACAAAAAAAATGTGTCAAAAAGATGGTTTTTCTATTGACACTGCTATTATTTTGACTACTTTCCATCCTCGGCAATGTTTGTTTTAAAAAGAGATGATTAGAATTGTAAACATGATGAAAGTGTACTCTTGACAATTTACAAAAAATATTAATTAATAACTATTACATTGTTTATTTAAAAGAATAATTTTATATTTACATTTTAAAAACTGATACAATTAAAACTAATGCAATGTAATATTTATCATTTACCAATTGATATTTACCAAGAAATAAATATGAAAACAATTTTTTATTCATAAATTTTTAAGCATTTATTAAATTATTTAAATATGGGAACCAACTATAAGGAAATCCTTATTATTTACCATTTTATAAAGTTCGAATAAATTGGTAATTAGCTAATTTCTTGCCAACCATTCAAAAAATCAATATAATAGATAAATATTATAAATAGTGTTTATTGTTTTGTAAATTCTCAAGAACAAAAACCATGTATAAATTTACTTTGATTATATATTTAGCTTTTATCGTAATTATTATTATTATTATTATTCATTGCTTTTTAAAACAATAAACATTGCTGAAGAGTGAAGGTAGTTAAGATAATAGTGGTGTCAATGGAAAAATCATCCTTTTAACACTGTTTTTTTTTGCAGACACAAAGGTCCATGTTTGCCTCAATTTTTTTTATATAAAACAGGAATATTTTTAAGCCATTTAAAAAATAAAAATAAGTCTGTGGTTACCATAAAATATTGTATTTTAATATTCTGTCTGCATAAATACTTACAAGACATCTCCCAATTATTAAGATTAGATGAGACCTAACAAAATTAAATTGATGGCTCTCAAAGGATAGTAGACTTTATTATCCATAATAGCAATTTCACCACCTCCCTTTTACAAATACTTTCATGGCAATTGCTCCGAGGAGCTGCATTCGCTGGTTCCCAGACTTCATGAGTTCAAGCGCCCTATGAGGCTGGCATTCCGCTCTCACCTCTTCACTGTCGAAACTCCTAAATGTAGCTCCCAATAGCTTCATGTCTCACACCTCTCACCTGTGGAACTCCCTTCCCTATTCCAGTTTCCCTGAGAGCTATAATCTCCAGCTATTCAAATGTAATGTCAATCGACATCTCCAGTTGCCTTGATCTATCCACTACCCTTCTCCTCATCCTTTCTTCTATCACTCCTATCTGATCTTGCTCCAAATTTTCTGTAACCCCTTGCGTCCTAGTGGCTTCTCACCTTGCTTGGAGTGAAACGCTTTAAAAAAAAGTGATAATCTAGATTTCCTTATTTTTTGCTAGATTTCTTAATGCATTTAAATGTCTCTGGTAAGGATCTTTCATTGTTGGTTTCTAGAGTGGTAGTGATTACTTCTTGAATGAAACCTTTTGTGAATTTTATGTTGTTTTGTCTTTGATTTTTAACTAAAGGGAGACCTAACTAATACAATAGTTAAAAATCATAGACAAGATGACACAGAATTCACCAAAGTCTTCATTTAAGGAATAATCACTGAAATTCTACAGACAAACTATGTAAGAACTTTATTAGAGAGACTTACTATACAAGTGACATGTTTGCCTTAATATTTTTTAATAACAAGTGATAAAACAAAAAAAAGACTAAAAGAAATTGTCTACACGACCCAAACTACATATTTAAAAAAAAAAAACAACTTAATTTAAAATTTTGGTGTCCCCCTTCTCCTTTGTGTGCATGTGTAGTTGCATCAACATAAAAATTACTTTAGTCTGATGAAGTCCTAAAGGTCGAAACGTGTCACATGAAAACTTTTCCCACTTTGTCCTGGATATTCATAAAATAAGTGATATATAAAACAGTAAAGATGACTTACTACAGATGAATTTCTTGCATCTCTCAACTATTATACTGTAGCTTTGTAAAAAAACAAAACAAAAAACCCTCCTAGCATCATCTTATCCTATGTGCTGTGTTCCTTCAGGACATGGGCGATCATGGCTCTCCACAATTTCCTGTCCTTTGCTGCTCTTAACAGTGTCCTTTTTACTCTCCCTCACAGGCCTTGTTCTGCCAACCATTTAAACAAGTTCATTAGGTAGGTTACTTTCTGCATTCCTCTCACTCAGTATATCCTGTGAGTATTAAATTCTCCAAGCCCACTTTCTTCATTATGTGTCCGAAAAATTTCAGCTGTCTCTTTCTGTCCTTTTTGCTTCCTTTTTCCTTAAATCTTTCTTGTTACTCACGTGTTCAGTCCATGGTTTTCTCAGCATCCTTCTGTAGAACCACATTTCAATTGCTTCAAGTCTTTTCATCTGTGAGGAAATTGTACAACATTAACTGTTATTAAGGTGGGCCGATATTACATAACAGTTCAACATCCTTTTTTTTTTTTTTTTTTTCTAATTAAATTTTACTGTTTCTTGATATTTATTTAAAAAGGGGCTATGGATGTCATAGGTATTCATAGTTTCGATAAGAATGATCTGGAACAGAAAATCAATGTCTTCTATAGAAAGTTTTATTTTGAGTCGTGTTTCCAAGAAATAGGACTCAAAATAAACCTTTCCAAAACAGCAACTGTGATCTGAAATTGAAATGAAAGTATTGATGGTACATACTCTGGATCCATTCTAAAAATTCAGGATGTGGATTTAGTAAGTACTAAACACTTGAAATACTTTTGTGCATAGATCAGCTATAACAAGCTTAGTATAAGAGAAAGAAATTGAACATAGAATAGGCTGAAAACTCGAGTCATGTCCTCAGATAGCCTCAGCAGATCAAGACTTTCATATGGATGTTAAACAATGCACCAGACCCGTTCAGAAATATATAAACTGTCTGCTGTGCACAAAAGCTTTCTAAGTTAAAAATCATTTTTGAATGAGTGAAGCTTGTGTGTCTTGGTGAAGGCCACACTTCTTTGAACCTTGTGAACTGCTGCCACAGAATCAAAAACAAAGAACTGTACCAAAACACATCACTTGAGGCCTTTCATTGGCAGCAACAACTGAAATGGAGAGCATGTAACTCAAGGAGAAAATAATGACATAATCAAGATGTTGACATTCCACACTACTTCAAATAAAAGGTTAGGAAGGAAACTGCCATCAATACTGGAAAGAATAATAACAGCTACTTGAAAAACTATTTTCTTAAAAAAAATGTTTTAAGGAAAAGGATTTTATAAATTTCAACTGTCAGTAGTACAAGCATCTTGGTCAATGAATAGCAAATGTTTCCTTATAATGAAACAGCAAATAGTACCAACACTGTTTTTATAATTATTAGACAAACTGCTGACAAACACTTTCTTTTAACAGAATTAATATGTCCCCAATACTGAGAGTATCATGAACAGAACATGTGAGCAATGAGGAAGTTTATTTATTTATGTTATTTACATTCAGACTATTGTCCTTACCTTTGCTGTTGCTATTATTACAATATTTCAACCATTGTGCCCTCCAGAACATCTTCAGGTGTTTATCAATCTAGTTAATTTTCAGGTGATCTTGAACTGAACACTTTATTTAATCTACAGGAATAGATTGTTCTCATTCCACTGTCCTTGTCTAGGGATATCTTGTCTTGTGTTTTTTTTGTTTTGTTTTGTTTTTTTAAGTATTGCTCACTTATTGTGTAAGTCTGCATTGCCTAGCTCAGGGATTGAACTCATCATGTCACCAAACGCGCAAGCCAATGATTTAATCTACTAGGTTATTGTCCTATGTGGAATAATCTACTTGTTTAGCTTAAATCAAAGGTTCAATTCAAATTTCTAAGAGTTACAAAGGATAGGATGCTGTAGAGAGCCATGATTGCCCACATCCTGAAGCGACATAGTGTATAGAAGAAGTCCTCAAATTCACAAACCAATGATTCAATCTGCCAGGCTATTGTCCTATGTGAAATAATCTACCTCTTTAGATTAAAACAAAGGTTCAGTTCAAAATTCCCTGAAATTTACCAAGATTGACAAACACCTGAAGAACACCAGAGGGCACAATGGTCGAAACATGATAATTATAACAACAACAACAAAAAAAACAACAGATGAGAACCATACTCCAAATGTAAATAATAACGCCTCCCTCACCAGAAATTCAGACAGAACTTTTAAGGAAAATGAAAACAAAATGATCACTTATACTTAGAATCAGAAAGAGTCAGTCGAAATTTATGGGACACCTAATGAAGAAAGAGGGCTTGGAAAATTCGACACACAAAGGACACATTGAAGACAAGAAGAACTGACAGAAACACAGAGTAACCTAGCTACTGAGCTTGTATAAACAGACGGCTGAACAGGGAGTAAGAGGGAGAGTAAAATGAAAAACATTGCTAAGAGTTACAAAGGCTTGGACGCTGTAGAGAGCCCTGATTAGTCACATTCTGAAGATAGAAAATGTCCCCAAAAATAAGAATAATTTTTGGGATGCATATCTAGCAGAATAGTTATAAGTGCAGAAATCAATGAGCTGAGTTTAAATTTCAGCTGAGTTTTATATTTGCATTCATGCTCTTGGGGAAGGCATGAACCCATCCTTCTAGCTATTGGTAAAATGATAGGGCAGATCCGGTTCTCTAGCCTTGGTTGGGAACCAGTTTCACAAATGATCACCT